GACAAGATATTGCAGTAAAACCACAGCACAACTACCAAGACGCAGACCAGGACTATTGCAGTAAACCACAACACACCCACACAGGGAACAGACTATTGCAGTAAACCCAGCAGCACAACCAATAAGGGGCAGATATTCGCAGTAAACCAACACAACCAATACCACCAATATTGTAGAAACACACACATATTGGCATTATTGCAAACCACAGCACAACTACCAAGAGGACCAGGTCAGATATTGCAGTAAACCACAGCACAACTACCAAGGGGACAGATATTGCAGTAAACCACAGCACAACCAATAAGTGGCAGATATTGCAGTAAACCACAACACACCTACAGTACCAATAAAGGGGCAGATATTGCAGTAAACCACAACACAACATACCAAGTGACACGTATATTGCAGTAAACCACAACACAACTACCAGGGGACAGATATTGCAGTAAACCACAACACAAACCACACAAAAAAAAAAGGCAGATATTGCAGTAAACCACAGTAACTACCAAGAGGCAGATATTGCAAAACCACAAAAACAACCACCAGGGACAGATATTGCAGTAAACCACAACACAACCACCAAGGGACAGATATTGCAGTAAACCACAACACAACCACCAAGGGACAGATATTGCAGTAAACCACAGCACAACCACCAAGGGGCAGATATTGCAGTAAACCACAGCACAACCACCAAGGGGCAGATATTGCAGTAAACACACAAACCACCAACGGGCAGATATTGCAGTAAACCACAACACAACCACCAAGGGACAGATATTGCAGTAAACCACAGCACAACCACCAAGGGGCAGATATTGCACAGTAAACCACAGCACAACCCACCAAATATGGGCAGATATTGCAGTAAACACACAGCACAACCACCAAAGGGGCAGATATTGCAGTAAACCCACAACACAACCACCAAGGGGCCAGATATTGCAGTAAACCACAACACAACCACCAAGGGGCAGATATTGCAGTAAACCACAGCACAACCACCAAGGGGCAGATATTGCAGTAAACCACAACACAACTAATATGGGGCAGATATTGCAGTAAACCACAACACAACCACCAAGGGACAGATATTGCAGTAAACCATAACACAACCACCAAGGGGCAGATATTGCAGTAAACCACAACACAACTAATATGGGGCAGATATTGCAGTAAACCACAACACAACCAACAAGGGGCAGATATTGCAGTAAAGCACAACACAACCACCCTTCCAATGTGAAAGAAATCAGAGCAATATCTAGACAACTACAAAAAGTCACAAGATAAAGATGTCATATTGTGGACACATTCTCAAGCAAAGCAAAGCAGAGAATCATAACTGTAAAACAAACAGGAGAAAGTATTGATATATCTTTTAAAAAAAAAAAACAAAATGAACAGAGGGGCTGGAATAGAGGAACTGAAGGTTAGCACTGTATGACACACAAAACAGCATCCTGACGATCATCCATATACCCAAATGGAACACGTATAATCTGATTATTTTTTTAAACCAACATTCCAGGTCTCATAATCAAGTGACTGGTCACTAACGATGAAACAAAACTGTCAATTCTTGAACTTTTGCTTTTTATTTGCCTTCACTGCAGTGGCTGGCGAAATTCACCTACTCCTGTGCAATTTGTGGCATCCTTCCTTGGAACACTGTCTCAATTATGACATCGAAGGTAACGTCAACTGTTAGTGATAGAGCAGAGTGTTACTTATCTCATCATTTATTGCCTACAATGTAATAAATTTTACTAGGCAGCCATACTGCTTTATTATTGATAGCTGAGTCAAGCTTCAATAAATTTACTGAACATGAGCAATGACTAAGAAGCCTAACTAAAAGTCTCGGCGAAAAACTATAGAAAAATTCATTTGCTTTGACCACATTCTTTATAAAGATGCAACACATTAAGAAAGTCTTTTGTATGTTTGTGTGTGGTGGTTGTTGATAAAGGCTTTGGTTGAAACATTTGATTGTTTCTGTGCATGTCTTTCCTTCACCATTCCTTGAGATTCTAAGTCCTAGCCAGCATTCAGCGAATGTATTTATTTATAACTGGCAGGCCAAAAATCTCACCTACTTTATGGAGAAAAATCAACTGACATGTTATATAAGTGGAGTGTTACGATAAGGCAGGTGATAGGCATACAATCCGTCAATATTAACAACAGACAAGAAGGAGCCAACATTATGAGAACATAATTTTATTTACAGTCAACCACTGTCAACTGTCAAGAGATGTTCTTCCCTCAGGGTGGTGTGGTCATAAACCGGGCAACGCTGCATGAGATTGTAAACATGATCACCCAACCCTAAACTGAAACAAAAATCACCAGGGGTAACAGAATTACTGGTAGCAAAAACGCAAAACTATTAACTCTTTGAGTCCCAAAGAACGCATCATACGCTCCTACCTAGAAGCCCAATGAACGCATGATGCGCCCATTGTATGACTCTCTTTACTACCACCTAGGCCTGTGATGCTAAACCCCCTGGGACTCAAAAGAGTTAAATGAAAACTGTGGTCTCCAAACTAAGGGTTCAGAAACCCCAAGACTGGATGCTGCAAGGTTTAGGCCAGAAAACAAACCTAAATGGATTATACTCTGCTGATACTCTTGGATACAATAAACATATGACATGAACAGCAAGCAGCTTATATATATATATCGATCATCTCAACTTTAACCTCTACATGTTTCAGTATATATATATACTGAAACATGTAGAGGTTGAAAGTTGAGATGATCGACTTCATTGCCCCAGGTTACTCCATATGGCTCGGTCTCAGTACAGAAAAGCTAGCCGCCTATAAGAAACAATAGCACCTTGTGCTGATCCTCAAGCATACAACATAGGAGTGGAATCTACTACTTTCGGCATGTGAGACATATGGCTAGGGGACTTCGCCACCCCCCCCCCCCCCCCCAATTCTGTGCATTTCCAGGCTATATACCCCAGCGGAAAGTTCTGGCTGTCATCCATTCCTGCATTTGTTGAAGGACTTGAATTCTGCATGCACATCCATTTTACAGATCTGGTTTATGTGCACGCAGACTGTTTGTTCCAAGATCCTTTGGGAAGAGGCATTTCGAATTTGAGGGAAAGGTTCCCCCAATTAGTCACCTTTTACAACAAACATGCTTACTGGCGGACAGTGGGTGTCCCCCACCCCATCTCCCAACGGGTCCCAGAAACCTTATGTAAAAACATCACAAATGTTGAAGGTGGGCACCCCTGCACCTTTCTGTGCAACCAATGTCAGGTGTCTAAAGTTGTGCAGAACCAGGCCAAAACAGACTCGACATGCTGCCATATAATTTTCCACAATTCAGCCCAGCTGTTCAGCTCAAAGGAGGGTTGCCATATTACAAGAGACAAACCTGCTGCCAGGTAGAAAAACTAATGATAGCCAAAAGGTTATGAAAAATGAAACAACCCACCCCTTCCCCCCCCCTCCCCCCCAAAAAAAAACTGAGCACGAATCAGTAAAAAGTTATCGACACTTAGCAAACATAATGCCCTCATGTATTTAAACATGCAACACCGTTTTCCTTATGCCTCTAAAAATCAACTTCTTTTTTGTGTCGGCTCTTGGACCCATGCTACCTAGCATGTGTGGTCAAATTTGCATATATTTCCCTTCAATAAACACTGAACAGGAGATGCTGCAGGTGATACCAAATGAGCTATTCACAAATGAAGCAACAAAAGTGGGCAATCAAAAAAAAAAATGCTGAGATTAGCTTCAACAAATTTAGTAATCAACAAGACAAAAAAAAATTGCTCTCACAGTTACAACTTTTCCCCAATCAAAAATTAACAGAAACAAAAGCTTCAAACAATGAGGGCCGAATATAACACAATTTACTGCCTGGTTTGTTTCACCTCACCTGGGGCATAACTACAGACTGCATCAAAATATACAAAGCAAATAAGACAAGCGCTACACCTAAACGGTGTCTGGTAGGAGGGCGCCCCTAGGAGACCTGAAATGATGACATTGAGGGACTACAGCCAGACGAAAGGCTACCCATCGAGTGATACATCTAATTTTATTCTCCCTTAAGATACTTGACAGAAAATGTGGAAACGATAGAACATGAACTTTTTCAACAAAAACACAAAACACACATCTCATTACAATGTATGGGATAAAATGATACACCCCAGGCAATAAACTGAGCAATTTATCGTTTGACACCTCATTACTCAAATTCACATTGTTTTAAATGTCATTTGTTCAGAGCATCTTTTCTCTCTTCCTCCATGTCCTATAAAGTTTAAGAGAAAACTTTTAAATTTTTTTACAAATTAGTCAAACAACAGATGTAAGTCAGAATAGATATATTATCTATTGTCTTTTCTGTACTCTAGTTGACCTATTCAAGGCCATCCATGTTCTGTGTGGTCTTCCACTGAGTTTTGGTCTTCCACTGAGTTTTGGTCTTCCACTGAGTTTTGGTCTTCCACTGAGTTTATTATAATAACATTCCTTAGACATAGTCCTATGAGTTGTGGCGACCCTTTGTTGACCTCTCAATTACAGCCAGAATATTCATTTCTGCATAAAACACGCTTAACATAATTCAAAGCAAATATTTATTTTGATAAACCCTACAATTCGTGTAAGCGACTGAAAAAGTCTACTGAAAGTGTACAGTCAGAAAATTAACTTTGTGGCCAGTTTTGTTCTCTGTCATTCTAAAAATCCCCCCCCCCCCCCCCAAGATCATTTTAGCTTCATTCGTTAAAAAAATAACTGAAAGAAAATCATCAACGCATTTGAAATTTTTCAACATAATGGTATGTACATAATGATCTATGTGATTTCATGTAGTTGTATTTACAGATTTAGCTCATTTTGTATTTCACCGTCCCTCAAAACAACAGCAGCAACAACAACAACTCACATTTCACTCACTCACACAACCTTTTCTTCAACTTTGACTCTTTTTTCCTCTCTGACCTCAACATTATCAGCACAGCGTTTCAAGCTTCCTGATCCGGCGTCTCCTCTTTCATTCACAGGCTGCTTCTCCAAACTGTCCTCTCCATTTTTCACCACCAGCTCTTGGGTGATTGCTGCGTCGGGCGTCGGCTGCTCTGTGGCTGGCTTCAGGAAAGAGTCCAAAACAACAATGATGCAGGTCATGTTGTCGCAGCCAGTTCCATCACCAGCAGTGTTGGGTGCCAGGCAGTGGTCAAATAACTGCAATAGACAAATCAATACAGAATTAATGAATCATCTGTTGTGGTTTCCAGACTGCCAAATCTGCACTTCCCAATGCAACACATCTGATTTATGCAAACCCCTAATAAGTCAGCCACCCTTTAAAACATGCAACTTCAGGTCCCACTGGTGTGTTGGGGAATGAGCAGACTGGCCAGTTCTGTACCACTGGGTGGCGATTGATGTTTGACAAGCTAGATGTTGTGAGGGCTCTTTGGGAGTGAGTGAACAGTGTGGAGGCACAGATACATAATTATAGTCTGAGTAGAATGGCATAGTGAGGAGTTACCAGGGATATCTGGCCGACGCTCAACACTCAAGGGAAAGGTGAGGCAGAATGGGTGAAGAAAACTGTACTGAGAGTCAACTTCTTCTTCTTCTTCTTTCGTTCGCCTGAAAAAAGTTATCTATATCAGCAGTTTTGTCTCTTGTATAAATTTCACTGTTGTTGTTAGTTCCTTCAGTGGTCCATAGAGTTTACGTTCCACTGTTGTTCTTTCTGGCCAAAAGGTTTGCCTTAATGTGTCAAAATCGGTGCAGTCCTGGAGTACATGCTCTGCGGTCTGGGGCACATTTCCACAGGTGCACATGGCTGATACACCTATCTTGAATTTTGTGTACATGTGGTTACGTAATCGGTTGTGCCCTGTTCTGAGGCGGAGGATAATGACTTGTTCTGGTCTTTCCATAATAAAATAGTCGTCTTGTGCTGGGGCTGGTGGTTTCCTGATCGATTTAACGATTCTTTTCTTTTGGTGGTATGTAACTGGTACATCTGGCTGCTCTTTTGTCGCACCTTCCCCTGCCAGTTGATCAGCTTTCTCATTTCCAGGCACTCCACAATGAGACGGTATCCACTGCATTACGACTCTTCGCTGACGCTGAGTTGTGTCAGCAGTGTTTGCAATTCTGGTAGTTTCCTAGACTGGAGTGCTTCAAGTACTGATTTAGCATCTGTAAGCATTACCACATACTGAGAGTCAACTGGTCAGGGCTAGCACTACATACCCAATGTAGTTTGCACTGATGGGGACGAAACGTGAAGCTAGCTGAATTTAAAACAGCCTAATAAAACCAGCTGACAAATGTTTTTCTTTGTAGTGTAGGGGGACTGACCAACTCTTCCAGTCCCACACAATACAGTGTACACAAGATATCACTCATGTGCAAAAGTCAACATGTTCTGTACATGTTAAGTTTAATCAATCCAACAACACGGGACACCCCCAGTGTGCTGTGTATTTGAACCCTGTGGATGAGGTATACCTATGCTCTTTAGTGTCATTATTACACTTCCATCAACTATGATCTTTCGGGGCTAAAAGATATAAAGGATATGCAACTAACAAATATCAACTTCAAAAAATGAATAACACACACACACACACAAAATCCTCTTACTGCTTCACAGACGGCAGATGGCTTCTGTCTAAGTTCTGGGTCCTTGAACTTTTCTAAGACATAGTCTACAACCTCTTGACTGGACATGTAATTCCTGTAGAAAAACGCAGAATCAAGATTGAAACAGTGTCGAGCTAAAAACTGACATGGATGGGGGGAGGGGGGAAGAGAGAGAGAGAGAGAAGAGGGGACAGAAGAAATTTTAACCGGGTTGCAACTGGTACTACAAGGTCTGACTAAGTAATAAGACTAGTTTTGGAATCCAAAGAGGCAACTGTCATCTATGATCTGGCAAAATTTTCATCGCCGCACGATAAGCAGACAACAGACAAGCCACCATTTTGTTGACCTAGTCCAAGGTGCACTGTTAGATAATCAGCAAAGAGCAAAAAAGCTAACATTAAATTATGTTTAAAACTGAAAAAAAAAAAAAGTGCTGTTGAGACAACTGAATTGATGCAACAAGTTTTTTGGGATAATTTTTTTAAATCTTAAACATAGATTTTCAGAATGTTCTTCATGGTTCAAAAGTGGCGTGGAAATGATTACTAATGCAACTAGACATGGACTCCCAATATCTGATTGTACTGAGGAACTTACTGCAAAAGAGAGAACAGATGAAAGAAAGATTGTTGTTTGACTGTGAGGATGGTGGCAGATGAATTCAGTGTTAACACAGATTATTCGTAGAATTGTAGTGGAAGATTTGGGCAGGGAAAAAGTTGCTTGCCAGTTTGAACCACATTTGTTGTCTGATGGCCAAAAACATCAGCGTGTTGAGTATGCAAAAGACATCATCAAAAGGTGTCACATAATATAATAATTTCCCAAATGTTATTGTTGCCGGATAAAATGTGTACTTCTATGAAAGCAAAGGAGTTATTCACAATAAAATTTATACCACAGGGACAGACTTTCACAGCCACAGTTCAAGTATTTTAAAACATCTACTGGAAAGGATATCGAAGTCCGATCCTAGCGTTCAACACCTTGCAGTTCTTTCTCTTCTTCCTGACAATGCACTGGCTCACTTCTCAGTAAGTTGCGCAGGAATTTTTGGTCCAAAAACAACTGTTTTCTCAACCACCATATTTGTCTTTCGTGATTATTTTCTATTTCCAAAATTAAAGTTACCATTAAAAAGACGTTTCTTTGATGATACTGATAACATTCAAAGGGCCGTAAAATCGACTTTACTTTAAGGGCTACAACAGGAAAACTAGAGAGGTCCTTCCAGTGTTTGTTAGATCGTGCCACTCGCTGTATCAAAGCACAAGGGTCTTACTTTGAAAAAAATAGATTACACTGTCGATTTTTTTAATTGTTATGGAATTAGTCTCAATAATTGTCAGATCTTGTATAAGCATGCTGACACATTGGCTACTGAAGAAGAGGATGGAGCACATGTGTGAATGTCCTAAGTAGACTGATATGTTACTGATTCTTTCATTTATAGAAGCTAACAGCAAAGCATGAGGGATATAAATTGCAAACAAGGAGTAAGAGCAAGTCTGGTGGCTACTTTTATATTCATTCTGCTATCAACATCTAGATTTTAAATTTAAAAAAAAAACATGCACTTAACTTAGCAGCAGAAACAGGTGGAAGCAATGAAGAAAATCTCTTTAATCTGCATATATAAATCATTATTACAAAAACATCCTAACAAAAATTACAATAAAACTGCAAGTCTACCTAAAAAAATACAGCAGAAAATGAAACTTAATGGTGTATTTCTTATTTTGAAAAATCAAAAATAAAACCAGAACAGTTCAGTTACAGAATATAATCCAGTGTATACTCACCAAATGCCATCACAAGCGATAACAATAAACTGATCGTCGCTGCACAGATCTGCAGTTTCAACATCAGGCAAAGCAGTGATCATCTGTTCCTCGGCTGGAAGATCTTTGTTGCGTTTGTACACATGGTCACCTAGAGTGTCAAAAAATGGCATGTAGTATTTTGTTGAGCAAGTATTATTGAGACAGATCTCTAGTCACACCATGGAGAATTACAGCGTGGGGGAGGGAGTGTGTGTGTGTGTGTGAAAAGCTGCAATGGCAAAGGATAGCAGCTATGGATGGGAATCTATATATCCCTAGGAAATGGGGAAAATGGGAAGACAATTACATTTATCAGAATATACATATATATATATATATAGCTGCACCTTTTGGCTGGCACATTCGACTTCCTTTCCCTGTAAGTTTTATGGGACATTAGTATCAAATTTATCAACTCCCGATTCATAGGTATTGTCCCTGGAGGGACCCGCTAAAGTGCAGATAAAGTGAACCTCAAGGGAAGGCAGTGGCAAAGCATGAGCCTTCACTCAGTAAGTGAGTCACCACTCAGTAAGGCTTCCATAAATGTACAGTTAAAACAGTGATCTGGTACTGGTCTAACCTCAAAGGATCGTCACTTCCTGCAAATGACTGCTTAGCCATACATCCATACAGTCAGCCTTCCACTCATTACTGATTACCTGAACAAATGGTCATCTTCAGGATGTAAGACTTTCCTCGGTATGAATTCACAAAATCTTGACCAGTGATTCCCAAACTATGCGCCGTTAGGGCTGCAACTGAGAAAAGTTTGGGACACACTGATCTAGGCAAAGAAATAACAGTGTTATGTTAAGTTAAAACAAAAGTTAAGTAAAACAAACTGCACATTGTTTTACCTATAGCCCGCGACAGGTTAAGCCCTCCGTTGACGCGCCCATCAGCAGTGACCTTGCCACCGGCATTCTCTATCCTCTCCTTCTCAGAATCATCCTCAGGTTTGTGATCAAATGAGAGCTCCACAGCCTTGCCGGCCCTTGACAGGACACAACGAGAATCACCAGCATTGGCCACAATCAGTTTGTTCTCCTGCATGAGGACGACACAGGCAGTGCAGCCACTATCTGAACCGGGCTAAGGATGAAACAATTACATAGGTCTTTATAAACAAACACTAAATGTCTACTATCCGAGCCAGGCTAAGGATGAAACAATTACATAGGTCTTTATAAACAAACTTTAAATGTCTACTATCCGAACCAGGCTACAAGATGAAACAATTACATAGGCCTTTATAAACAAACAACTGCTTTAAAAAAAAACACTAATAAATAATAATTTAATATAGAGTATATAGTGCTAGCAATCAAACATAACCACCATCAGGAAAGTTCTGGTTACACATCCATCTCTTATTCAAGAGGCCTGAGTTTTGCGTGAACATCGATTTTACAGATCTTGATTTGTGTGTGTGTGTGTGTGTGTGTGTGTAAATATATATAAATTACATATATATATATATATATATACTTTAAATATCTATATCCGAATATATATAAGATATATAATATATAACATATATATTATATAAACAAATATACTATATATATACTATCCGTTGTTTCTCTCAGCAGATGCACTCCGATCTGAAAGGAAGCCCCCAAAAAGTCAACTCTTATAATAGGCTTTTGAGGGGGGACAGTGGGTCTATTCTTGTTCTCCCCACAATGGGACCATGGAACCCGCACAGAGATGGCAAACACCAATTATGGGCTCTATAGGGTATAAAAAAAAAGCTGCCCAAGATGACTGTGACAGTAATATACGAACTGCCGGCTGATAAAATGCTGAGTAAGGACGCTTTGGTTAAACTGATCAGACTTGTACTTTGATCAGCCTAGGCGACAGCCCTGACCACAAACAATTAAATCAGCAGCCCAGGTGACAGCACTGCCCACAAACAATAACAGCTTTCAGTTAAAAGATCTACAGGAACATCTGACTACTCTCAACAACAGCTGTTTACAACATAATATGAGAATCAGTACAGAAAAATAAAATAGAAGTTATGAAGATCAGCAGAAACACACAGGCCACTGAATATAATCCCCCATCTTTTATTCAAGAGGCCTACATAGAACATCAAAGAATTGAAATGGTTTGGACATATAACCAGGATGAAAAATCTGACCAAATAACATCACAAATTTTCAACCAAAGAAGCTCAGGATATAAGGCAAGAGGAAGACCAAGGAAACGGTGGGCTCTTGACGGGGGTCTCCGAAACCTGCCAAAAGCATGGCAGCTCAGAACATCAGATGCTGCCCGCCTTGCTTATGACAGGAACTTGCATCTCCCCACAACGCTTAGCGGCATACGTGGAAGGAAAAAGTAAAGTAAGTTAAAAGAAAACTGTTAGGAATATGTTTTATCCTTCCAATTTGTGACCAATGCTTACAATTAGTGAACTCAGTGTTGCAAACTGGAGTATTAAAAAAAAAAATTTGCAGAAAACTAAAATAAAACAGTCACTCTAGAAACTGTTAAACAGTGAAAAACGGATCGGCGTTAGCGCAGTCGATATGAGGCTCGCTTTCAAATCCACCTGCGACTTGCTGCAGCCACGGCCGGTGTTCAAAACTGAGCGGTTTGCAGGGTTCACCCAGCCTCGAGGAAATGTGTACCAGAGTTAACACTCTGGGGTAAATGGAGGAACGTCGCTGTAGCTACGGAGTTACGTGCGGACGGCGACACAGGCAGACAGTTTCTTATCAGCTGTCCGTACTGGTGGCAGAGCACTTATGGTTTATAACCGTGTGCAATGATGCTGGTTCACATCTCTGAACTTTACCTTTTTTTAACCCTTTAAAACTGCAAGAATAATTAAAAGTACAATGACAGAAGCTAGGAACATGTACAGGTAAGAACTTTTTCTCCAAAAAAAAAAGAAAATGTTTGTTTATATAAATGAGCTTGCGACTATACAGGTACAACAAGAGAACCTCAAACAATCAAACTGCAACATAAGGGGAATAGCTAGCTCTTCATGAAGAAATGTTTTTCTCAACATTTACTTGCTCCATCATGTGAGGATAGGATGCTTTTTAAGGAATAAATCTTTCAGTACCAAGCAACTCACTGTGGGTTTGATGGTTTCTATCAACTTGCAAAAACCGGTTGTTGCACTCGGATTGAAATGTACCTTTTCTTTCAAATCATTATTTTTCTTACTCATTTCAGCAAAACATTTATTAGTTAACGTAAACATCTAATTGCGAATAACCTTGCTCCAGTGTGGAAACACATTTTTTTGGTTATTTTAAAACCCTACCCCAGCCGTATTTATCTAAGGGTTGAATGTGGCCTCTAGGACCTGTCCCCATGTGATTTTCACCTGAATGGTGGCACTTGGTGTCACCGGGTGTTTATCGTTTGTGATGGGGTTGAGAGCAGGAGCTGAAGTGTTTTAGAGCAGACTGACACTCTACTAAGTATTTGTGACATGTAGTTGACTGTTGTGTGGGTCACTGGTTCATTTACCAACACAAAAGGACCCCCCCCCCATGGTAGTATTTTGAAACTCTATTCTGCCACCCTCTTACCAAGCAGCCACAACCAAAATGCAGAATCAACAAGGACAAAAACTAAGGCAGCATTTACACCTGTATTAATCAAGCTATATTAGGGTACCTTGTTGGTAAAAAGTGTACGAACATGTTGCAGTCAATGTCAATGCAAATCAAAAATTACAACCACAATGACAAGGCACAGGAATTTTCTTAGACAGCCACAGCGCAAGCTTCAGCTTCATAAAAACTTATATTTTTCACTGTCTTACTTCTTCTTCTTCAGAAGCATTCATCATTGGTACATCCTCTGTTTCATCTTCTTCGTCGTCGTCATCTTCGTCATCACTGTCACTGAAAAACAATAAACAACAATTGTAACACAAGGTGAGGCAAAACTCAAATCTGACAGTGAATTTCTTAGTCATGAAAGCTACATACTTATGTATATGCTCTCTTTTTCTTGACACAAGTAAATTCCTATTGCTGCTGCAGTTGCATTTCTACAGATAGTATCGCATGATATTTTACTCCCCTTCACTTGCCATTTATTCTCCTTCAGGTTTCCTTAAGCTGTTCACATCACCTTTGCCACGTAAGGTCCACCAGACAGGTGTCCTTCGGCATTCTGCAAACAGTTCAAGCTATATCGTTCCTCTTACTTTAACATTTGCCAGTGTTGAACATGTTGTTGTCTCTCCCCAGTTCTTCATTTGTGATCTTGCATGACCAAAATATTAACAGGATTATTCTATTCTTAAAAGGTGTCACATACCGCTCATGTCACGTGCCTGATTTAAGGATTTCTCCTTAAGAACCAACAGCACTCTGAAATAATTATGTTGAGTTGTTGGCTCGTATTGGTCTAAGGGATATCCCATGGCCAATATACGCTCAACTTATTTCAGGAGTAGGGCAACTCAAGCTTTGGCACTACAAAATATATAATATTCCTTGGCACACTTGGCTGGACGCCCCCACTACTATAAAAAGGTAGCCCCCAGGTTATGATAATATACTATCATAGCCATGTTAACACAGATAACACTTATTACTCACACAAACATCAAAGCTAGACAGAATGGTGAAACAGGGATACCCAAGTCAGCCATGACAATTTTTACATGTAATAAGTTCAATTTAAATACACAAATAAATGAATAAATAATCAGAAGTGATCAGTTAATGGAGTTCAGGAATTAATGACACAACCCAGATATTGAAGCAGCCAGACATGGTTCCTTGAGTTCATCCTAGGAATCTCAAGGTGCTGTGGGAATAGAGCATGATAATGAATAAGTGATCACTTAGCCTAGTTCGTAGGTCAATGCTCCCCTCAGTCCATGGTGATTCGACTGTAGTTGACTCAGGTATCTATGCCTCGATTTTATCTGGTACAACTTGACTATCTCACAATCGAGGACACAGGAACTGCATAGGAACCCAACAAGTCTCTCTCACAGGTCAGGACACAAAACTGCATCAGAGCCCAACAAAATTCTTGAAGACTGGTTCTCTGGATTGATGACACAGATGTCTGCAATTGTCCACTCATCCTGAAACTTACAAACAAGCTCTTGCCATGTTGAGGTAGTGGCACAATGGGCAGGACTTTTAGGTTTGCTTGGTGCCCAGAATGGTATGGGTTGGTGGTTGTTGGCTGGACTGTGATTCGTCTGCCTGATCTCTAAGGAGGTATCATCCCAAGCTTAGGAATTCTTCCAAGATAGAACTGGAACTTTGAATGCGCCAATTTCTACATAGACTGTATACACGTCTTGACACTTAGGAAACAGGCGAAAGAATGGCCTCTCAAAACCAAACTTAGCGTCTCTAGGAAAAAAGTCCCCTGTATTCATGCCCAAGGAGTAAACCGGCTTACAGGAATTTCTGAATTAAATTCCAGAAATCTTCAACCTTCAGTTGCAAGTTTGAAAATGAAGATTTATCAAAGCAACTAGAGGGTCTAGAAATGAATATTTCACCAGATAAAGGTATATCTCCATATAAGGGACTATATACCCCTCCGGACGGGTTTAAGTTTGAAATTTGACTGCTTGCGGGGGAAGTCAGAGTCCCGACTCGTCCATCGTGTAGGGTTGGCTGCTCACCTCACGACAAAAGGTTTCCTTGTGTGCCTTACACCAGGTAGAAGGTGACTAAATTTGGTGTTGTCCTTCAAAGTGGGCACACAAAACTGTTCCATAATTGGGTGGAACAACCAGAACTCTAAATCTTTAAGAAAAAAGGATGTACAGAGACCTGATTTGAAAATACATATGACTGAATGTTAGGAACAAGTCTTCAGAATATTTTTTGGTAGGGATTATTTTCAAGGCAATGAAACGTAAACTACCGCACTGTTACTGATTTTTAAAAAACAGATTTTAAGAACAGTGTCAAGCTACCTGGTATTTGCAATATTCAATGAGGCTGTCACATACTAATCCTCTTACTAAAGTCGATGTTTAGTAGGCTTTTAATCAGCGTGGAACTTATGATGTACATATTTGATTACAACTACTCTGAGTGACTGGCGAGGAGATGAAACTGAGCACACTAAAAGTGTTTATAGGGCGGTGACCATGAGGCAGACCAAGAAAATTTTTGGGAGATAATACAAAGGCATAACATTTGGTATCATCAACTGAAAGAGAAAGCCAATCACAGATAAATGGAGGCAGTAATAAACCCCAAGGACTCAGAATGCTGACAAAGTCGCTGTCTTGGTAACAGAGGAACCATATTAGCAACAGTCCAGATAACAAGGAGGCCTGAAAAACAAAACAGTAATCAAATAAATAACACAACCCACCTCATGTCTTCCCATGAGTCTTCGTCGTCATCATCATCATCCTCATCATCATCACTTGTGTCCATGTATCCATCAATGGTTGTTGCATTCTCTGTTGTGTTGGCCTTACTGGACTTCCTGCAAGCTTTAGCACTAGCACCTGAGCCAGAAGGTCCATCCTACACAAATAAAAGACATAACTTTTTAATGCCGCAACATTCAATACTTAAAAACTTTGTAGTTTAAGTTTAGCATTCCATCCTGCACAGATGTAGGTTCTGACTCTTTCCAAAAATGACCATGGCTCATAGATCAAACCAGCCTTGAATGGACACCAGGTGGCGACCAGGTGTAAGTAGAGGAGCCGGGAAGGATGCTGACCATATTACCCACCAACAATTGCTGATTGGTCTATAAACTTTAGCGCTATATGCCTGAAGGTGTAGAAAGGGTCCTTTATTTTTTTGAGCCTACATAAATACAACTATTTAACGGCACATGTCTTATGAGACACCCAAATCTATCACAATAACCTAAGCCTACATAAATACAACTATTTAACTGCACATCTTATGAGACACCCAAATCTATCACAATAACCTAAGCCTACATAAATACAACTATTTAACTGCACATGTCTTATGAGACGCCCAAATCTATCACAATAACCTAAAACCTATTTTGACACTTAACATTTAGTATTTCCTTTACTAAACACTATAAACAAAATGTCAGTAAGCCATTTCTTCCAGCACAACAACTTATGTATTTTTTTTTAAATGCACAGGGCATGCTAATTTATTTGCAAGGAAAAGTAAAGACAATTGCATTAATAAGTTTTTTTTATAAGCAGCCAGAGCAAAATTATTCTGTGCAGTAGAACTTTTTTTGTGTAGTTTTAAATATGGATGGTCTATGTCGAGGAGAAGGTGTATAACCCATACAACTTCTTCTTAAAGTCAGTGCGGTGTGGCGTTGGTAGTTGTGTGTATCCACAACCTTCTGTCGCTGTTCTTTTAATCAACCCTTGACACAAATGATACACCATGCCATGCCAAACTGTGCCAACCTCTTTAATCCCGCCCTCCCTCTGTCTCTCATCCCCTCCAACTTTTCTACTGTCAGAGTGTGTACTTTAGTTGTTTCCTTTTGATCACATCTGTCCAGGATATTCTCATCAGTTATATATAAAACCAAATCTCCGCAGCTTCCCCTACAACACATATACAAACATAGAACACTTACATCTGCATCTTGGGAGCTGGCAGCTCCTGTGGCTGAACCAGCCGGTTCTGGTAATGTTGAAGACTGTGAACTGTCACAGGTCCCTGTTTGTTTCACACAGGCAGATTCACAGCCGTCTGCCGCTTCCCTCTCTGTGGTGCTTGTTGCAGTAGAGGACTCCTTACTGACAGATGAAGGCACTGTGGGGGAAGCTGTAATGCTGTTATCACTGTCATTATTACATTTAGTGTGGCTGCTGTTTGCTGCCGTGCCCACAACAGTTTCAGGCTGGTTGCTACTGCTGGACTTATTCACACTATCCTCACCATTGGAACACTGTGAGGAACTGTCATGTTTGTGCTGTTTTGATGATGGTGATGCTGTTGTTCCTGAGGATGATGTGCATACCGATGAAGATGGCCCATCTTCTGCATCTTGGCTGAGAACAGCTTCATTATTATCTGTTGATTCAGTCCGGAGAGCTGGACTTTGCAAAGCGCTGTCATGAGAATTCTTAGTTTTGTCGGGTGTTGTCAATTTGTACTGTGCTAATAATTGATCCAACGGCATGTCAGCTTCTTCTTTCAACAGCTCGGCTTCTGAGCGACCTACAGGAAGACCTACAGACAAAAAAATGATAATGTCTATAATATATCATTTTGAAAGCACACTTATGTCTTGGGCCTGGCTCATGGGGCTTGAGTGTTGCATTCACTCTCTGAGTCCCAAGGAACGCATCCTACGTTTAAATGTTCCTACCCAGAAGCCCAATGAACGCATGATGCGCAGATTTTACGTCTCTTTTGACTACTCCTTGGGCCTCGGATGCTAAATCCAGCTGGGACTCAAAGAGTTAACATTTGTTTTGAAGGTCTGGCTTATTTTCGTGTGTAGACAGTCGGCCCCTTATCTCTGAGGAAAAGACCAATCCTTTATATTTTAACCAGGCCTCTACTTTTAGGATGGCTGCAGAGAGATGTAGACAGGTCTTGGTGCACCATCACAAGTGGTTCAGCACCTCTGCACCAGGTGTGAATCAGCACACAGAACAAAAATTCAGTACACAGTGGTGGGGAGGGGGCGTTAAAAAACAAGGTGCAGATTAAGAAAAATAAATTCTTTATTAAACATTTTTAAAAGTTTTGAAATGTGTACCTTGTGTACCCAAAGATTTGCACCCCCAGCGATAGACCTTTTAAAGTAATACTGGTGGTATGACATGGGAAAAAAACTTGCTATAGGATTCAGATAGTACAGAAGAAACAAGACAGTAAGGACACATGCTCCAGTGTTGGCATAAAAAAATATTTATAATAAAAAGGGGGAAGGCAAAGAGATAAATACATGGATGGGGTAGCCATAAAAAATGAGCTGAGACAAGACTGGCCTGATCCATGATTTTGGTAACAAGACAGCCAAAGCTAAACAGCATGGCACACAGTGATGATGGTTTTTATGTAAACTAAAATGAAGCAACAGTGCATTGTAATGTACAGAAATAAGGTAATCTCATATGCAACTACTGTCTAAGTGATGGTGAATAACAGAACCAAAGACCTATCCGGGGAGTTAATCTAGTCAGAAGATAGAAGTTGGATGTGTCAGCCAAAAGGTGCAAATATCATAGCTTTGCTGTAAACAGGGCTAATACAATTACACAACATGGAAGAACTAAAAACATAAAGCAAACTTATGAACTAATCTGTCTATGACGATAGTGTGTGGGTGGGGGGATGGTTCAGGAAGTTATAAACAATCAGACACTATGTGGAAACAATCAGGATCCACATGTTACACCTGAGGTGAGATGTGAAATATTTATTGAACAAAGAAGACACAAACAATAGACTGCACAATTTATTGCCTAGCATATTTCGCTGTATCTCGTCAGGTGCATACTACAGTAATAAGCTTCCGCGATCCACCGGTTAAAACCGGATCTCTGTAGGCAGAAAGAAATGGTAGTTTCCTTAAGGTTACCTTGGTGAAACAGACAGTGTAGAATGTACTCGAATTTGTGTTTCAGTTTTTAGGATTCAGCTATTTGCTTCATTTATTCACTTGTTACTGTAGTATGCACCTGACGAGATACAGCGAAATATGTCAGGCAATAAATTGTGCAGTCTATTGTTTGTGTCTTCTTTGTTCAAATTCACATCAGGGAAACATTGCTTTGATTTTCTAAATATTTATTGGTTTTATTGGAGTACTCCATTATTTGTGGATCACCCCATAATTACTCCGTCCGTATGCCAACATAAACATTCCACCATTAGAATTTTGCGGTTCATCATTACTGCACATGCAATACTGTATAAGACATGTTATGTGGCAACAGGACACTTACTATTGTCCGAATCTGTAGGCCACTATAAAAACCACCTTAGGCACATTAAAAAAATAAAAAAGCATTCCAAATTAATTTTGCAGCTCAGAGTGTCAGACCATGCACTCACCTCGGCAGCTTGGCGATAGAACTATATACTTTCAGCAACTATATGGGGGAAATGTGACAGCTGACAGTTAACAGAAGCTAATAACTTACCAACTACAGTGGCTGGCTGACCCACCACACTGGTGCCAGAAGCCTTTAAGTTCTGTATTTATCAAGATAATAATTAATTGAAAGATTATCCTCACTGCACATGGGACCAGTCCATAAGTGCTCGGATCCCATCTTCAGTATATTCCCCAGCATGTGGTGACTGTGTTGGTTTACTATTCTTCTTTGGCTACATGTACAGTGCTTATGTTAGGCGACAGCTCTTTTGACCTGAAGTTCATGTAGTCTTTTTGGTGTTGTCTATTCCAGGTCGTCCCCTAAATCACCCTGTCCTGCCTCTGTGAGAGCACTGAGTCAAGATGTATGCCACATTAGAAGGCTCTACATAGAAAATGCATATGAATGCATATAGTAGTTACCTAGAAACCTACATGCAGTTTCCTACAAACCTACACACATGAGAACAAATACAGTAAAGAAAATAGGCAGTAGTATATCCAGCAATCACTACATACAGTCATCGTCGTCCTCATTGTCATCATCTTTTCCAGCCAGCTCTTTGAGCATCTTGATAACATCATCGTGTGTCAATGTCTCGTCAAACTGGAGGAATGCTTTTTTGATAAAACTAGCAATGTCTTGTGGGTCCTCTGTGTTCATCAACTTCTTCACAAACTCTGGGAAATATCTCTCGCAATACTTTGCAACTTCATGACCTGTGGGTTACAAATAATTTAATAAAGATTAAGGATAGGAAAAACAAAATTAAAAACACACCAGATATATTATTTCAGAAACATCCCGTGTAGGTTCCGGGGCCCTATTATCGAGAAAAACAAGAACAGACCCACTGCCTACCCTAAAGCATGTTGTAAGAGTCGACTAATTGGGAGCTTCCTTCAAAGTCGGAGTGCATCTGCCTGAGAGGCAAGGAACCAGCAGTCTGCATATAAATGAATCAGATCTGTAAAACGGATGCACACGCAACACTCAGGTTCTGGAACGGGGCTGCCGTCCAGAAGAAGATGAACTTTCCGCCAGAGTTTACAGCTGGTGAACGCGAATAAGAAGAAGATTTCAGAAACATAAACCTTCTCTTTGCATTCACCAGCTGTTAACTCTAGCGGAAAGTTCCTCACTGTTCCTCCACTTCTGGCTAGTCTTTGATCTTGTTCCAGAACCTGAGTTTTGTGTTCAAATCCCTTTTTCATATCTGGCCTGACTTATCTGTATGCAAAAAAGGTTCCTCGCCTCTCAAGCAGGCGCACTTCGACTCTGCAGGAAACATCTCATCAGCCGACCCATGCTAGGGCAGTTTTTGTCTCTGCAACTGGGCTCCAGAACCCACAAGAGGAATAGCTAAACAAGACACTGCATGTCTGTTAAGAATCATATTCATTATACACAGAGATCCCTATTCTATTCCACTGCTTTAGATCTCAAAAGGAGAATTTCAGCATAGCAAACAGTGCTTACAAAGACCTTGATGTGTATACAAGAATCACACACAAGTTATTAACAGAAATTGGCAAGAGAACAAAAAGGGATGTATACTGCTCTACCTATGTGTCAGTCTTGACCCAACAGGTGTGAGTCATAGTCAGTGACAATATCTCACAGAAGCCAGCTTCAGATCTCAGAAATAAAGTGGTTCAAGTAACAAGTAGGGATAAAGCTAGCAACCAGATATGTCATGAGCCCTACAAACTTGAGTGAATCAGTCACAGTTACAATGGTCTGGACATGTATACAATGGGGGAGAGACGGTCACCATGGCAGACATCAGAGGCCAAGAACCAGGGAATTAGACCACCAGCTGACCCAGGGTTCACTGGGAAGAAAACAACACATCATCTGAGACCGAATGAGGACTGGAATGGAACAAAGTCAAAAAGAGAACTGCTGACAGAGAAGTCAAGTGATTTCTCTGGCAAAACTCCACAACCCGGGGTAGATGAGAAACGACTTAGTAAGTCAGTTAACTAACAACATTTTGTTTGTGTGTGAGTATTCTTAATATAGGTATAAAAGCTGGACAAGACTTTTTTTTCGTGTTTATGACTACATATACCTGACAGTGTAAACAAAGCTAGAAAGGTATAAAGCTAGCCATTGTCTACAGAAACTATACCCCTTAATTGTCCTAAACTATTCCAGGCCCGTATTTGGACTTGAGACACCTCCAGGCTCACAAACATTCAACTGCAGTTTCTTGACACATGAAAGAGAGTGGCCCTCATAATTTGTGTTGGACGAACGAACGACCTGACAGTGTAATTATATTTATGCTAATTAGCAGAATTACGAACAACAATCAGCTGTTATCTTCGTGTACATTTATGAAGGTGACAAATAACAGAAATAAATACCTCCGTGTCCATCATAAACAGCAAAAAATGCTGTTTTGGTTTTTTCATCAAACAAGGGAATGCAGTTGTGGGCGTCCTGAAATATGTTATACACAACATATAAATTATACAGCCACATTCAATTATAAAGCTGTTAGAAATATACTGACACGTTATCACTGATAGGGTCTGGTATATATAAACAAGATTTTAACTATTAAATGATATGATAGCTCAAAAATCAGACCAACGATTTTTCTTTGAGGCATTCACAAACTATAAACTCTTGCAGATCTGACTGCGTCCATTTCTGGACTCAAAAGTTTTATTCCAGAATTTTAGTGTGCACGTGTGTTTTACAAACTGTTGCGTCCCTGTCTCTCGGAGATATGTGTGCTGACTTTAAAGGAAATACCCCTAGTTAGTCAGCTTTTACGAAAAGCTAGTTGGGGGAGGGGGGGAGCAGTGGGTTTATTCTTTTTCCTAAACAGTGGAGCCCTAAAACAACCACAGGAAACACCCACTGCTGAACAATTTATCACTGCAGAAAAATTGTGAGTCGTAAGTTATAAATAACATTCTTCCAATGCTCTGCTAAATTTTTTTTTGGGACATTTATTTACAAAAGAATCAGCATTAAATACTGTGGTGAAACACTGAAAGCTTTCAAACTGTTTACACTGAGGAGGCTTCCAAACCTGCCCTTTGCATTCAAAAACATCAGTCACTAAAGCTAAGGTGACGCAAATATTCCGATATCAGTCTTAAACAAATCTGCGCGACTGCCACACTCTTAGAACCGAATCAGGTGAGGTGTCTCCATCTGGTAAAACTAAAAATAGAAATTTCTGTTGACCTCAATACCTTCACATATATTTTATACACAAGTGATTTAATTTGTACTTTTGCTATTTTTCCTACACTAAAAACTACATTGTTTCTAGTTAAAAAAAAAAGCACACATGAGAATGAGACGCAACTTGACACATGCTATACAAAAGTTTGTCAGTGTTTGCCACACATGTTAGTTAGTCTTTCTCTTGTGTCGAGTGCGGCACATAGGGCAGAGGTCATGACTCTCCATGCATGGCGGTTCGTTGCAATCTGTTGTAGGTCTTGGATATTTGAGTGGCCCATGAATGAGCCTTCCCTGATGATAGTTCTACGTAGGGTTTCCCTTGGTCTTCCACAAGATCTTTTCCCCTGTGGTGTCCAAATGAGGGCTTGGTAAGGAAGTCTTGATTTATCCATTCTAAGGGCGTGGCTGACATAATTCCAGCGGCGTTTTTGTATAAAATTAGACACATACTCTTGCCTGGATTCTTGCCTTATTTGTGTATTGGTTCGGAAATCTGACCATTTGAAATTTAGTATTCTTCTAAGGCATTTATTTTCAAAACTGTCTAATTTTGTGTCTAGAGTTTTCGTTGATTTCCAGCTCTCGCATCCATAGGTTAGTACTGGAATCACACCACACACGAGACTCAAGTATATCATTATATCACACAGCATATATGTGAGACCCTCAGCTGACATCTGCTACCCATGAGACAAAAGTGTCCTAAGTTTGTTTATGTTTCCACATGGCAGATACATGACAACCCAAGCTGACATCTACCACACGTGAGACTTAGGTTTATGTTTGCCATATGGCACTCCAGAGCTCTGGAACCTGCTATACATGACACTGAAGTTTATGTTTGCCATACAGCACATTATTCATCCATGAGACCACGAGCTAAAATCTGCCATACATTAGGAGATCTAAGATGTTTTTGCCACTCGGCACATACGTGAGACCCTGAGCTGAAATCTGCCCCACATGAGACTTAGCTAACATTTGCCATACGGCACATTATACATACATGAGACCACAAGTAAGAAGATTTAAGTTTTTGATTTTGTTTGCCACTCGGCATATACGAGAGACCCTGAGCTGAAATGTGCCACATATGAGACCTAAGTTTATGTTGGCCACAGGAAAGACGAGGAGACTTAAGCTGATTTATTTTATGCAATATGGCACATAAATGGGACTCACTCTTACATCTGCCACACAATTCACACATAAGACCTAACCTAAGTTTGCCATATATTATATATATATATAAGTCACCCTAGAGGCTGCAAGATGTTTTGACAAATGCATGAGTAGAAGTTGTTTTGGTTTGGCACATGACTTAATGTCATCATTAGGTTAAGTTAAAATAATAAAATCCTGAATCACTCTTACATATGTTGTGACATGGCAGGCATTGGTTGTTTGTTTACACTACTGCATGGCACCCTACCTAAGTGTTGGCATGACATGCATGGTAAATTTAATTTATTTAGTACTTAATTCTCAATTATAATGTTGCTTAAGGTAGTGTATAAATTAAGGCATACTTGATCCTAAACTCATATTTTAAGTGATTGGTGTTAGTAATATAACTTGTTTTTAAAACCATGGTGGCATGGCGTACCCTCTAAATTATTTCTGGCATTTTTCCTATCGATGCCGTTATTATTGTTAACATTGACAGAATCATAATTACACTAGTAGTAGTTAGTAGTCTAGTAGTAGTAGTAGTTAGCTACTACAGTTTCGGAAATTAGCGATCTTTTCGACAATTACCGTTACCATATAAACCGTTTGAAACTTGTTTCGGAAATGTCGGCTGGGGTTTCGGGATGGGTCCTAATCTCTCATGAAATTTTGCCATTGGTGTGATTTTCACCCACTCTAAATAGCTGAAAACGGCGGGAAGGAACTCGATTAACAGCGCATGTCTACGACAGCCGGACATTCTCTGTTTTTCTGTTAGTCTATCAGTTTGATTGAAAATAGCGGTAAATTCGAGGTTGGTTTAGGCCTTAAACATTACCAGATGTGGTAATGCTAGTTACAATTGAATTCTCCGTCCAATTTTACATTTGCATATATAAATTTCTTTCCCGTCTTTGGCTGTTTAGATTTACAGTGACATTTTTTAGGCAATCGCATGCGGCTGAGTGAGCTGAGTCTCACTGCCTGCCATCTTGTCCAATGACAGTCCAATGTCAACAAGGCCGATACAGAACTGCGCAGTAGGTTGCGCAGACTGCGCAGAAAAAACTTCTTGTTTCTGGGTCACACGTTTTAGCGGCTGTTTCTTACATCTCATCTCCACAAAAACCTACATATCTCAGCTCAGAAATAACATACAAGCCTAAATGAGGTACCATTGGAAAGAGATTGTTTACTTACAGCTATCTAACTGTGCTGGTTTTATTGGTGTAGAGGGCATTTTAAAAATTTGACTGAAGTACCTAGTGTAGTGACTACAGTTGAGTGATGTGCATCAAATGTAGTATTCTCTGTGATTTCATTTACTCAACAAAACTATATTGTAACTGAACAAAAATGCAATGTAAATATTTTAATTCGTAACAACTTTAACGATTATTATACACTACTCTACACTCAATTCTGAATTCATTTTGAAATTTAAGTTTTACTACTTTTTTACTTTTACTAGCTATTTTAATCATTCAAGTGACCCACTTAAAAACGAAAGTAGAGATCGCTTAGTTACAAGATGGCGTCGATGGTCCACGAATAATGGCTCCTTTGCCTATCAGTTACTTTGAAATCCTGTCGCTCAATACTGGCTGTTCAGAATCGAATATGTGGGCTCAAAGTTATTCAGAAAAGGTCGCTCAACCAATCGACACCTAACTTACATAGCGATCTTTGTTCAGCCAAATAAATTTCACTATTTGCCATGCGGGAAGTAAATTTCTTTAATATCTCCTTTTTAAAGTGAATATATATACTAGGAATCGTCATTTTTGGATTCTGCGTCCATTTTTACATAAATATGGGCAGTTTTGCTGGAATCTGTACATCACAAAATTTAAACTTTCAATTTCTTCCCGGTTACTTCTTTAAAGCTGAATCGGCGATTTTTCAAAATGGCTACCGCATGGCCTAAACAAACTGTTTATCTCAGATTAATTAATCTAGTTATTTATAAAAACAGTTCAAAAATAATGCAAGTTTTATTTGTATTAATAATTTACCTTTCTTTAACTTTAATTTCACATGAGTTTTAATAATTTTAAATACCTGAAAATAATGTTTTAGCACGTTTTTAACATAGACTATTTCAAGGGTATTTTGCGTTAAAAATAGACACAGACAGTGGTTTAAATATTTTATAATAATAGTTTCAAATGAATATATAGTAGTTATTTAATCATTTTTTGAATCTTTAGCCATTATAGCATTTTTTAAGCCATAACCTATCATTGGGCATGAACAACATTTTTTGTTTTGAAGCCTTTTTACCTGTTGACCCCCACTCCCCGCACCCAGACTGACATTTTGGACGCAGACAGTGGTTTAAAACATTTTATAATATACTTTTAAATGAATATATAGTAGTTATTTAATCATTTTTTGAATTTTTAGCCATTATAGCATTTTTTAAGCCATAATTTATCATTAGGCATGAATAACATTTCCTGTTTGAAGCCTTTTTACCTGTTGACCCCCACTCCCCGCACCCAGACTGACATTTTTAAAAAATGTCTGCCACACATTTCTGCACTATGATTTTGTGGTGCATATTTATTGTCTTAAATAGTATAAATAACAGTTATTATTTATGACTGATACTGTTTTAAAATTGACTTATAGATGATGATTTAGAAAGTTGATTAATAAAATTAATAATATATTATTTTCAACTGAATAAATTCACTTACTTACAACTTATGATTAATAATATTTAATCACCGTGATCACGTAGGACATAGATAAGTTAATAAAATTTAATGTAATTTTTCCTCTTACCTTATGAAATGCTGCTCCATGAAAACACAACATAAATCCGAAGCGAATTACATCTCCATGAAAACACAACATAAATCCAAAGCGAATTACAAAGGAGCTTATTTAATAATTTTACTCCATGAAAAACATAGCACTGAGTCACAAATCGGGCATGAGCGGTTACCTTCGATTATTTTGAACAAGTAAATAAAATATCAAGCAGTGACTAGTTAAGAAGAAGAGGGGAACAATGAGGTGAAATGTCTCATCATCAATAAAATGAAAGAATAACTCACAAA